TCGTTTCCTGATCACTGGCGTGTGTGAGTTCCGTGTTCGACTGAAGATACTGCCGAGTTTGTTGACCGATCGTCCAATAGGAAAGCTGTTTCTGTGTGTGCAGTCCACAGATTCTGTTAAGTTATATCTTACATATAATTGTAGGCTTGGTAGGTGTTACTGGAACCTACTCTAGAGGGTACAACTCCCTCCTTGTATCCCTCTCTCTTCTAATCTCATTCTCTTCTCTCTTGATATTTTTCCTAGCCTAAAACCTCACGCTGTTCTATGGCTTCCCTAGCTACCTAGTTCCTTTGACATGGTAACTGTGCAGGTTGCTCTTCCTGGGCTTGCTAATCACGCTTCCGCCGCGCACTCCTCCTCTCTCTCTCTCTCTCTCTCTCTCTCTCTCTCTCTCTCTCTCTCTCTCTCTCTCTCTCTCTCTCTCTCTCTCTCTCTCGCACTGCCATGGCGGCCGCATCATGCTGCTGTGGCGGCGTCGGCATGCCGCGGCCGTCTCGACACGCTGCCAACGTCCAGCAGTGGCGGCGTCGTCGACGTCAAGCTGTGGCGGCGTAATGGCGCCGTCGTGCTGCCGTGGCGAAGTGCTGCCAGCGCACGTACCGCACGGACAGCAGCGGCCAGCGCCACGTCTTAGCGCTGGCCAGCATGCTCGCATGCAGCCAGCGCGCCATACGGGGCGGCACGCTCCCGGGCTCCGCTGCTAAAGCCCCACCCCCTTCCCCTGCGTCCCCTCTTCCTCGCCGCAGCCGACGGCTGACTCGCGCCAGCCGTCCCACCGTCGCGGAGCCCGGCCACGCCGCCGAGTGCTACGACCTCCGCCGCCGCCGGCAGCTGTCGTCGAAGTCGCTGCCGCCGCACGCCGCCACTGTCGACGCTGCCGCCGTCGCCGCCGTTGCAGCCACTGCCCTTGCTGTCGCCGTCGCCCCGGCTCACGCACTGTGGGGTTGACCATGCGGGAGAAGCCGTCGCTGCTGCTGAGTATGGGGGTGCTAGGGGGTGTGTTGCTTAGTGTGCTGTGTGTGTGGTGTGCTTTCGGCTACCAAGCCTAGGGGGTGTGTTAAATTATATCTTAAATGTAATTGTAGGCTTGGTAGGTGTTACTGGAACCTAATGTAGAGGGTACAACTCCCTCCTTGTATCCCACTATCTTCTAATCTCATTCTCTTCTCTCTCGATATTTTTCCTAGCCTAAAACCTCACGCTATTCTATGGCTTCCATAGCTACCTAATTTCTTGGACAGATTCAACAGTAACGCATGCTCGCCATTGGCTAGCGTGCGTACGTACGATAAAACCTAGTCTAATCTGTCAGAGAGCTAGATTTTGCTTGTGTGCACGGAAGCAGGGGAATTGTACCCGGCAAAAGGTGTAAAATCCACAGTTTTTGAATATTTGTTTCGCGTAGAAAAAAACAATGGCTTAAAATCATAACTTCTCTCCAAGGGGAAAGGGGCCTATAATCGAATTTTGCGTATAAGCCCCTTTTTGTCGATTAAAGGACCCGGGTGTCGAGTGACCCACTGGGGTTCCCCTTGAGAAGATCCTCGGGGAAGGGCCACATGTGCAGAGCCTGGGGGGCTATGAGCGCACAGACCCACTATTAATAAGCCCTTTTAATTCAGTGGCTAGTGGCTGAGTTGCTAATACCAGTGTCCTAACCTGGGGGGGGGGGGGAGGGGGGGGGTGGGGTCTTCTATCCGGGGGATTACAGTATAAGTATGAATGTACTACTCATTAATATTGTCCTTGTCATTTCAGACATTTCCGATACAATGTGTCAAGTCTTCCTCTGACTTTTTACTCTGGTTCTACCAACTCTAGATCCTGGCTGTCACGAGACTAGGTAGCTAGGAAGCCATGGAATGGCACGAGGGTTTAGCTAAGAGAAAGTTTGACGAGAGAAAAGAGATCGAGAATAGAAGAGAGAGGGATGCAAGGAGGGGTGTTGTACCCTCTACAGTAAGTTTCAGTAGCACCTACCAAGCCTACAATAATATAGCATATATATAATTTAACACACCCCCTAGACTTGGTAGCGGCAAGCCCACCACACACACAGCACACTAAGCCACACACCCCCTAGCACCCCCATACTCAGCAGCAGCGACAGCTACTTCAGCACGGTCAACCCCACGGCGCGTGAGGTAGGGCGATGTCGACAACGAGGGCAGCGGCTGCAACGGCGGCGACGGCGGCAACGTCGACAGCGGCGGCGGCGGCGGCGTGGCCAGCAGCACCAGCTGCGGTGGCAACGGCTTCGACGACAGCTGTCGGCGGCGGCGGAGCTCGCAGCACTCGGCGGCGTGGCCGGGCTCCGCGACGGTGGGACGGCCGGCGCGAGTCAGCCGTCGGCTGCGGCAAGGAAGAGGGGACGCAGGGGAAGGGGGGCGGGGCTTCAGCAACAGAGCCCGGGAGCGTGCCGCCCCGTGTGGCGCGCTGGCTGCATGCGGGCGTGCTGGCCTGCGCTAAAACGGGGCGCTGGCCGCTGCCGTCCGTGCCGTCCGTACCGTCCGCGCGCTGTCGCGTAGATGCCGCGGCAGCACGACAGCGCTGTCACGCCGCCACGGCTTGACGTCGACGCCACGGCAGTGCGTTGCGACGGCCACGGCAGCACGACGACGCCGACACAGCAGCACGACGCGGCCAGCATGGCAGCGAGAGAGAGAGAGAGAGAGAGAGAGAGAGAGAGAGAGAGAGAGAGAGAGAGAGAGAGAGAGAGAGAGAGAGAGAGAGAGAGAGAGAGAAACGAGCACGCGGCGGAAGCATGGGGAGCAGGCCCAGGAAGGGCGATCTACTCTGTTACCATGTCACGAGACTAGGTAGCTAGGAAGCCATGGAATGGCACGAGGGTTTAGCGAGGAGAAAGTTTGACGAGAGAAAAGAGATCGAGAAAAGAAGAGAGAGGGATACAAGGAGGGGTGTTGTACCCTCTACAGTAAGTTTCAATAGCACCTACCAAGCCTACAATGATATAATATATATATAATTTAACACTGGCCACCCTGAACACATGGTTCACTTCAACAAAGAATGCAGCGTCTATGATTCCAAATACGTGTGCTAAATATAGACATGTGCTGCCAGCTAGGGTTTTGATTCGCAAATATTTTGCCGTGTAATTGCTGTGTCTTTAGACGGAAACTGGATGAGCTAAATCATTTGTTCACCTTACAATAGTAGCATACCGTCATTCTAAGGAGAAATGGGTTGTTTCTCCCAACTGTACAGAATCACGCACAAATCCCATCAAGTGTCAGCGTCCCGTGTCTTGTTCCCTGCAGCCTGCAACAGAGGAAGCAGTGTTGGATCATGGCGATCATTTTTCCCTCGTTGGCAGCAATTCTTGATGCTGATTGATTTGGTCGTATTCTCGTGTTTGTTGTGACGTATTATCCACAGTGTCACACCTGTCATGACAAATTCTTGCTGCCGTCGATTTCGAGCCCCCACAATTTTGTTGCAATCCCATCGGGCTACGTGAAGGTCTTTGCTCTCGAAGTACAGTTTCTTGGGCTGATTTCAGGGCATTTCCTTTCATGACGTGTTACAGTACGAGACTTGTACATTCGGTGGTCATGTGATGACATAGAAAAACATGTCGAGAAACCTGTTGTACAGTAGAACCGCGGGCCAGTGATAATTTCTTGGTCTGTCTGTTGCGGTGATTTGCGTGGCTCGCATTTGACGTGGCAATGTTTGCAGCACCTTCCTTTGCATTGCTGCCTGTCTGTTTTCTGGCGCGGAGTCTTCGTTCCCCCATCTCGAAAGATGCTTCGTTTCAAGCGCTGATCTAGATCGGGTCCGGCGACCAGACCAGGGTCACCACCGCATCCCCTAGCGCATTCCCCCCGCCCCCCCTTCCCTCGGCGCACGTCAAGTTTACTTTAGAGGACGTGGCAGTGGCTGCGTGAGTCGTTGGTCCTGTTCGGCGGCCCTTTTTTTTGCTCGGCGGATGTGCCCGTTGTGAGGGAGCATTTTTTAAGGACATGTTGTCCCATGCTTAGATACAGCTGCTTGAAAAATTGCTGACATTATTTTCGATCGGCTGTACCAGAGGGGGACTTTTGGCCGTAGAGGAACATGTTGCGCTTCTTCCGTGGCAAAATTAACCGAGATACCAAACTCCCCTGTTCGGTAGGCCTCGGCTCGTGCGGAGGTGCGGTGTGACTATAATTGAAAACCAGGGCTTTGAGGAAACCACTCGCTTAAAAAAAGGGCCACCGAACAGGGCCATTGTCCTGACGGCGAAAATGCTTCATTCCATCCATCATCATCACCCAATCAACATCCCTCCAACGGAAAGCGGCGACACGCGCGAGCAAGACTCCCCAGATTCCCCAATGAATTCCGATTTTTGTTATCGGGTCACCCTTTTAGACCCTTGTTTGCTAGGGTCCTCCGAGTATAGACCTTAACTCCAGCACTCCTCCCCTAGAGTGCCAACAATACGGGTCTGTATAAACGTTTGGGGCTCCCACCGAATCGACAAGTGAGTGACACCTTGTTTCTCCAATCAACCACCCACTCGAAATCACCACTGGCAACAGACTTGTTTTGGAGGATTACGAAACTACTCCCAAGCCTCCCGTCGTGTAAAGTTCGCGCGCAAGTTCGTCCGCGTCCTGCTCTTGCGCTCGTGGCCATGGCATGCATCGCATGGGGTGGGGGGGCAGCGCTGAACAGTCCACGCGCGTTCCTCCAACGGCAGCGTGCGACTTGCTGGCAACATCCAACGCACGAAAGCAGATATGATTTAACCGTGAACCGAGCATCACCGTGTTTAAACGCATTCCAGCTCACTTCATCCTATTTACTGTAAACTACTTGTTCCCATCTTCCAGCGTGATTGAGGGGGGCACTACCTTTCCAACAGACCTTCCACGTGCCCAACACGGTGGCTCAGCTCTGCTCCATCATCTCATGCTTGTTGCTTGATAACCTATTCGTATTTCAGGGGCGTTTCTCGTTACTGTCTGTTCGTCTAGTGCCTGCATGCTCCTCTCTCGCCGCATTCACATAATTAGGTTACTCGAGGAGATTCAGAAACGGATTGAAACGCCCTTACTTAGCCAGGCTAGCCACGCACTGACTTACTCATCACAAAATCGTTCCATCCTATCCTCAATCGTTCTGCGAGTTCCGATTCTACAGCCACACATTAGTAGCACCATCTCTCGAGCAGCATTACCAGACTCGACGCTGCTCCCATTCCTTTTCAATCCGTCACTCAGCACCAATTAGCCTAGAGGGTCATTATTATTGATTTATTTTACCCAGATCTGCTCCTAATCTCCCAGGAAGCTTTCGGTCGCTCACTTCCACGTCACCAGGTTTCACAGGTTTTGTCTTGGCGAAGAAAGTATACCCCTTGGCGAAGTTAGACCCATTGGCGAAGAAATTAGATCCATTGGCGAAGATTTAGACCCGTTGGCGAAGATGTGCATTTCCAACACGCCATTGTCGTCGGCAGGCCCAGCCCTCAACGATCACGCACGCCGCGCCGTGGAGGATCCACGTGGCTTCATCACCGCACTGCATGGCGGCTACAACGGCGCCTCTCCCGGCAGCTCCATGCATGGCGGCGCCAGCGGGAAATCGGTATTGTCGCACGTGCTGTCGCACACAACGTCGCACTCAACGTCGCCGCCGGATCTAAGCCCGCAGAGCGACCCGCCGAGCCTCAGCGGAAGCAGGGACCGGCTTTTCCGGCGATCCACAAGCGTCGCCAGTAGCTATGCGGAATCCGTCCCAGCACCTACTAACTCGTACGTCGCCTCTCACGCGCACATCAGCGCCACTCCCGCTGCGGAACTCCAAGAGCTTCCGCACTTCACGCAGCCCTCGTCCGTTCGCTCGGAGCGGAGAGGCGGCGCGCTCAGCCATTTTGACGGGAAAGCGGAGGCTCTTAGGCATGAAGGATATGCCAGTCGACGGGATTGGGGATCCGGGTCACACATTAGAAGCCGAGCCGCCGCTGCCGGCGCTGGCGGCGCTGCCGGTAGCATGGTGGGGAGTAGGGGGGATGATTTCGCGGCGGTGGCGCGGCGCAACAACGAACGCGAAGGCGGAAGCGGAAGCGGATCGCATAGGGGGGTGGTTGGGTTTTTGAGGCGCGCTTCTTCCGCACAGGCTTCCCCCTCCCCGTGCGCCGGCTTGCGCGCGGACACTTGCGCGGATGCGACCCTGGCGGAAGCGGGAACAGGAAACGCCCGAAGTTGCGCCAACGAGACAGCCGCTGGCGCGAGGTTCACGGAAAGAAAGGGCTACGGGGGTGGCATCTGCGCGGACGACCTGGCGGAAGCGGCGGCGGTGGCCGCGGCAGATCCGCGTGCGCTTGCGCCATGGTCGTCGGTGTTTCTTGTAACGGTGGTGGCTATGGTGGTGGTGCTGCTGCTGCCAGCGCTGCTGCCGCGCGTCGGGCCGCCGCCTGACGAGCTGCTTCTGCTGCCGGTGCTCGTGATGATCGTGGTGCTGATGCTCGCGTGCAGGCCGACTATAACGCGCTCCGCGAATCCGGGACGTGCAGTCGTGTTCTGAGGTCTATGGAAGGACCTGTCACCTGACAAAACGTAACTCCTGTGCTTTAATTTCAACTTGTGTATCTAGTCACGCATCTGTGTAGTCACATGTTCCTGTGGTGAGGTGACATGTTCCCTTAGCATTATTAATCCATTGATAAACCTGATTTTGATTCTACCGTACTTCCAGGAATATGCCATTAACACATGTGCCCCACATGTGCCCATTGGCCTTAGGGCTGTGCCCCACGTGTGCCCATTGGCCATAGGGCTGTGTTCTGATTGTGAGGTATCTCTGACAGACACAAAGACCAACATAGAAGCGGAAATCATGAATACCAGGTCATAAAACACTTCTCATCTCACTGTACACAGCTATTGGATTGGATACATGTGCATGAATTGCTAGCTCTCCCTCTCCCTAAACTTTGGCTGACAGTATACCGGTATTCCACACATTTGTGCTGCCCCTTCCGCTTCTTTCCATGGCGCAGACGGCCTTGAGCCTTGACGAGACGGGGCTGCATTGCAACCCCACCCCACCCAGCATTTGAGTACTCTGCTTCGTGGGCACATGCGCTCCTCTTGATGCACTTAGCCAATCACTTGCTTGGTGCTGCTGGTCTAGGAACCCCAGTGGAGACGAGAGGAGGTAGCAAGCAAGCAAGCCCTTCAAAACTCCGCTTCATAGCACATGCACCTCTTAGCAGCGCCAGGTCGGGCCATTCAACTGCTTTGAGGTGATTATAGAAAGCCAGTGCCAGTGAGCACGAGCTGCGAGGCCGATTATTCAAACCTCCGCCTCGTAGCACATGCGCATGCACCTCTTGGCCGATGTCCATCCTAGCACCGACATCGGGGAATCAGTGGAGCTAAGAGGAGCCCAGGGGAGCAAGCGCTTCAGAACTCCGCCTCGTAGCACATGCGCATGCACCTCTTGGCGGATGTCTGAGCGAAGGGTATGTAACTGAGAGAGTACCTGAGGAAGAGTGTGGACAAGGGAAGGGGGGGAGGGGGAATTTTTAGGGAATTCTCAAAAGAACCCTGCAAAATCAGGGATGTAACTGAGGGAGTACATGCACAGTGTGGGAAAGGGAAAGGGGAGAGGAGGGACACACAACGTTAGCATAACGTGAACACACAAATGAACCTGAAGGAAGGGAAACGGATGAGCATCAAGTGTACATTATCATGCGCAATGAACGTGATGACTGTACATTAGCATGCGCGATGAACCTGATGAGTGTACATTAGCATGCGCGATGAACGTGATGAGTGTACATTATCATGCACGATGAACCTGATGAGTGTACATTATCATGCGCGATGAACCTGACGAGTGTACATTAGCATGCGCGATGAACCTGATGAGTGTACATTAGCATGCGTGTCAGCAGCATGCTTTTGAGTGCACCTGCTATGCCAGACCAGCATGCGCGCTTGTAGCTGACGAGCGCACGTAGCATGCCATATCACATGCCTCAGATGCCATCTGAGCGCAAACGCCATGCCAGGTCAGCATCCACATGCGCAGCTGTATCAAGGCACACGTGTACCCATACCCGACCAAATACATGGCATACCATATCATTGCACACGCGTGCATGCAATACCACACATGGATGCATGTGCCTACCTACATGCATACATCTCATACCATATCAGTGCACATGCTTGGACAACAATGCAGAGTAGAGTGAGAAGGGCGTCTTGAACCTGCTCACAGCAAGGGGCCGGGGAATAGGGGTGGATGGATAGGGGTGTGGAGGAAAAGGATTTACCAATTACAGATAAGAGTACGAAGATAGGTGTAAACATTGATGTGTTTGGTAAGTCTCGAGCAAAGAGTGTGAGGACGGGGGAGACTGCGCACATACGCCCAGAAGTGACTATAGGCACTGGGGGAATTGCTCATGTAAATATAAATTATTAATTAAACAGGGTAAATCACTCACATAAAGAGCAGCAATGAGTGTGAGGATGAGCGAGAGCGCAAAGACGATGGCAGCACCGATGCGGATCGGATCAAACATCATCTTGAGCTGCCGCATGAAGCCGATCAGGAACCCTGTGCTGTGGAGGGTGGAAGGTGGAAGGTGTTGGGAAGTGTGCGGGGGAAAGAGGCTGGGAAAGGGTGCACCAATGTGGACGGGATCAAACATCATCTCGAGCTGGCGCATGAAGCCGATCAGGAGCCCTGTGCTGTTTTAAGCAGGAAGGGGGGGGGATGAGAGAGTTTGGAGCAAGGGAATGGGGGAAGGAGTATCTTCCAAACGGGATCAAACATCATGTTGAGTTGGCGCATGAAACCTATCAGGAACCTTGTGCTGTTTCCAGCAGGGGAGGGGAAAGAGGGGAGGGGAGGAGGGTGGTGGGGAGGGAGTGAGGGAAAGGGGGAAGGATTATAATTCAGACGGGATCAAACATCATTTGAGCTGCCTTGCAAAGCCGATCAGGAACCCTGTGCTGTTTGAAGCAGGGGAGGAGAAGGGGGACTCGGAGGGTGGGGATGGGGGGAAGGGGGACTCGGAGGGTGGGGACGGGGGGAAGGGATGCCATTCAAACGAGGGTCAAACATCATCTTGAGCTGCTGCATGAATGGAGCCGATCAGGAACCCTGTGCTGATTCCCACAGGGGAGGGTGGGGGGGGAGGGGGGGGAAGGGAGGTTGGAGCACGGGATTGGGGAAAGGAATAGCATCCAAAGGAGGGTCAAACATCGTCTGGAGCTGGCGCATGAATCTGATCAGAACCCTGTGCTGTTTCCTGCGGGGGAGGGTGGAGGGGGAGGGGGGGGAAGGGAGGTTGCAGCTAGGGAACTGGGAAAGGAATAGCATCCCAACGAGGGTCAAACATCGTCTGGAGCTGCCGCATGAATGAAGCCGATCAGAAAGCCTGTGCTGTGTCCCGCAGGGGAGAGTGGAGGGGGGATGGGGGGGAAGGGAGGTTGCAGCGAGGGAACTGGGAAAGGAATAGCATCCCAACGAGGGTCAAACATCATCTTGAGCTGCCGCATGCATGAAGCCGATCAGGAACCCTGGTGCTGATTCCCGCAGGGGAGAGTGGCGGGGGAGAGAGAGGTTGGAGCGAGGGAATGTGGGAAGGAGTATCTTCCAAACGGGATCAAACATCATATTGAGCTGCCGCATGAATCTGATCAGAAACCCTGTGCTGTTTCCAGCAGGGGGGAGAAGGTAGACTCGGAGGGTGGGGATGGGGGGAAGGGGGACTCGGAGGGTGAGGATGGGGGGAAGGGGGACTCGGAGGGTGAGGAAGGGGGGGAAGGGGGAGTCGGAGGGTGGGGATGGGGGGAAGGGGGACTCGGAGGGTGGGGATGGGGGAAGGGGGACGCGGAGGGTGAGGATGGGGGGAAGGGGGAGTCGGAGGGTGGGGATGGGGGGAAGGGGGACTCGGAGGGTGAGGATGGGGGGAAGGGGGACGCGGAGGGTGGGGATGGGGGGGAGGGATGCCATTCAAACGGGGGGCAAACATCATCTGGAGCTGCCGCATGAAATCGATCAGAAAACCTGTGCTGTGCTGTCTGAGCATCGAAGGCGGGGGGTCTAGTTTTGAGGCGCCTCAAAACTAGACTCCTATCACGCGGTTATTTGAGGCGCCTCAAAACTAGAAGGTGGGGGGTGACAGGGAGTGCAGGAGATATGTCAATGGGGGAAGGGGCACACCGAGCCGGATGGGATCAAAACATCAGGAACTCAGAGCTGGTTTCGTACTTAACATCGACTGCCGATGTTTTGAGGCGCCTCAAAACGAACCAACTCAGAGCTGGTTTCGTACTTTACATCAACTGCCGATGGCCATGAGGTTCCCAGAGAGTAGGTGATGCTTCGGGGTAGGAGGGGCCGTAGCGAGTTAAAGATGATGTAACAGCCTCCCCGACTCACCTGCCGATGGCCATGAGGTTGCCTAGCGAGTAGGTGATGGCGAACTTGATGGGCGACGGAAACACCAGAATGGACTGATGGTGAGATGGGGGAGGGAGGGAGGGAGGGAGGGAGGGAGGGAGGGAGGAGGGAGGGAGGGAGGGAGGGAGGGAGGGAGGGAGGGAGGGAGGGAGGGAGGAGGGAGGGAGGGAGGGAGGGAAGGGAGGGAAGGGAGGGAGGGAGGGAGGGAGGGAGGGAGGGAGGGAGGGAGGGAGGGAGGGAGGGAGGGAGGGAGGAGGGAGGGAGGGAGGGAGGGAGGGAAAGGGGGAGGGAGGGAGGAGGGGGGAGGGATGGATAGGGGATGTGAAGTGTGTGTGAGGGAAAGATGGGCCATGGCGGCCTTGTAGGCGACAGGGACAACGGAATGCACCGATGATGGTAGGGGGGAGGGAAGGGACTCGGGGGTACGGGGTAGGGGGAAGCCGACAGAGGATGAAAGTGTGTGAGGGAGAAAGTAGGCGATGGCGAACTCGACGGGCGACGGGAACAACTGACTGGACTGGCGTTGGTAAGAAGGGAAGGGGAGAGGCCGGGGGGAGGAGGGAGAAGGGGAGTGGCCCGGGAGAAGACGGGTATGCTTGATGGGTGATGGAGGTCTCGATGGGAGAAGAATAGCAGAGCCTTGTGGGGGGTGGGTGGTTTTGAGACGCCTCGGAAATAAGTTTCTATCACAAGGGGATGGGGGCGGGAGAAGGGGAGAGTCAGGGGAGGAGAAGGGCAGAGTCAGGGGAGGAGACGGGGATGCTTGATGGGTGATGGCGAACTCGATGGGAGAGGAAGGGCAGAGCAGAGTGGGGGGAGGGTGGAGGTTACCATAGGTAACTACCATGAGTGACCGGCGGGTACATGCACAGGTGGTTACCAGAAAAGCGTGGTTACCATGCACAGGTGGTTACCAGGGAGAGGTGGTTACCATAAGAGGTGGTTACCATGCACAGGTGGTTACCAGGAAGAGGTGTTTACAAGGGAGAGGTGGTTACCATAAAGAGGTGGTTACCATGCACAGGTGGTAACCATGGAGAGGAAATTACCATGAGTGTGCAGAAGATGCCGATGCAGAGGCAGGTGGCGAAGCCGTATATTCTCTGAGGGAGACATGCACACCACATGCACACGACATGCAGCAGACATATAAGAGGCATGCAGCAGAGGGGGGTGGAAGAGACAGAGACATGCAACGGACAGACAGCAGAGGGGGGGAGGGGGGGGGGGGGAGGAAAGAGAAATAGACAATGCATGACGTGAGATGAGATTCAGCCAGCACAGCCTTCCTCCTGGCCTGGGCCTTCTCCCTGGTCTTCCCCACAGCCGTCTGGGCCTTCTCCACCATGGCACGGCGCCCTCCCCTCTGTCCGTCCATGTGTGATTTTTGAGTCGACTCAAAAATCGCCAGCAAAGCGCTCTTCCTGGCCTGGGCCTTCTCCACCATGGCGCCCTTCGCCCTGTCCCCCGCCTCCCCAAGGGAACTCATGACTCGACAGCTGCCTCACTGGCTTTGAACAGGAGCAGAGGAACGCACCTGCTTCAGCGTCAGCGCGCAGTACCGGCTCAACTCGTCCAGAATCGATGGCTCCGGCGGAGGTGCAGACGGCTCAGATCCTACCAATCCGACCATCTCCTGGGCCTTCCCCACAGCCGCTTGGGTGTTCTCCACCACGGCGCCCTTCGCCCTGTCCACCGCTTCCCCAAGCGGACCCTTCAACCGACCAGAGCGCCATCTCTACGCGCCCCGGGCTAAAGAGCAGGAGAGGAACGCACCTGCTTCAGCGTCATCGAGCAGTACTGATTCAACTCGTCCAGAATCGACGGCTCCGGAGGGGGTGCAGACGGTTCCAAGGAATCCACGAGCCCCACCATTTCCCGGGCCTTCCCGACGGCCGCCTGCGTCTTCTCCACCACGGCGCCCTTCGCCCTGTCTACTGACTCCGAAGTGACTCTTAAGCCGACTAAAGAGCCATCCTTACGAGCCTCAGGCTTGAACAAGAGCAGAAGAACGCACCTGCTTCAGCGTCAGCGAGCAGTACTGATTCAACTCGTCCAGAATCGACGGCTCCGGGGGAGGTGCAGACGGTTCCGAGGAATCCACGAGCCCCACCATCTCCCGGGCCTTTCCCACGGCCGCTTGGGTCTTCTCCACGACGGCGCCCTTCGCCCGGTCCACGGCTTCCGCCATCACTTCTTTGAAGAATCCCAGATTCTCCATGTCGCTCGCTCGCCGTGCGACTGCTGTGCGACTGCTGTGCGTCCGCTGTGCGATTGTGCGGTAACTTGGCGACTATGTGGTGGTCGATGTGCGACTGTTCACTCGCTCTGTGCCAGTTCGCGCGCTATGCAACCGTTTCGTTCGCCGTGCGACCTCTGGCTCACAGATACACTGACGTTTGACCAACTTACCCCAGTGATATACTTCGGACCTGAAACTTCGTCCTCGACTAGTACCGTCTCAGCTAGTGGCTTCGTCTATACAGTCACAGGTCCGGGAAAAACGCCAGAACATGGTATATTCAACGACGCTGTAAACGAAACGCGCGAGTCTGCATAATCGGCTGTTTCAAATCTTGGTAGCTGGGCCCGGAACGATGAACCGAAGAACTTAGCGACTCAGGATGACAGATGTCGGATGCCGACTCATGACGCAGCTTTCGAATCTAGCAGACGAATTCCCTGCGAGTCTGGAGAATCCTGGTGAGATTCTGTTCTGAGCTTTCTGTGAGCCATTACAGAAGGTCCTCTTGCTCAAGTTCAGTTGTCTAGAAGACTCCTCAGCGAACGGTGGGAGGGAAACCGTCGGCTTTCAGTTGTTGGCAGCAGGGAGGGAGGGACACTCCCCTCCCACGACACACCCAAGGGGTTGCGGGGTACGCGTTCGGTTGTTTATGTTATATTTGGGGCCCGATGTTTACATGGGGCGTGCGGAGTCAGTTCGATCCGGTAGTCTGACTTCCACTCTTTGTTAGCGGTACCGCTAAGTGCGCGACTCTGGAATACAGTTTGGGGAGGATGGGGGACGAAGTAGTCCCTGAATGCGTGGAAATACTTCGCAATCTCGGGTTCCGGGTACAGTACCGTCAAGCAGTTACAATCTCGAGCCCCCCCGCTGACGTGTGCTCAACGCGCAGTTATGGGCAAGCCCTGCGACGTCTCTGATTGGTTGAGCGGCGAATGTGGAGTTTCAAATGGTCACAAAACTGAAACCCGCGAAGTTCCACCCACAACACACATTGTAAGATGTTGCGATCACGATACAGTTATGCAATTTCGACATAATCGGGATCAGGGTTGTCACTAGCGAGTACGAAACTTCGGTGATAGTTTCTCTTTCTTGGCCTTGATATTTTCCTGGTCGATATTTTCAGATCCATATTCCCCTCACAATCTGGGAACCTGTGCTCAGCTGAACTTCCTTCGTCCTCTTCCGGGAATCCTGGGCCCTCAACCAGGCTACATTGCCCGTGGAACGACCTAATTCGTTCCTAATTGGCGGTGCTCTCCGCCTTTCCTAACTAAATGGCGTCAGCTCTTTCCGCCGGCGCTCTCGCTACAGTCCCATTCAACCACAATCACACCAACGCCGTGATCTCCCACTCCCGCCATAATCCCAATCACCGCTGTTGCGCCATGATTTCCGCGCACGGAGCTACATCAGGGCCGCTACAGACGTATTCCCCGCAACTGGACCGTGCTCGCTGCAGCCAGAGCCGATCGAGCCAACAATTCACGTTGCGCCTGTCGCGCGCGGAGCGGGAAGCTTTCCGCGGAACGGCAGCTCCGCGCGGAAGATTTCCGCCTAGGGCCGCGGTTTCAGTCTTCGCCATCCGCGGCAGCGGCGGCGGCGGAAGCGGAGGGGATGGCGGAGCGGAATGGTGGGAGCGGGAGGAGGCGCGGTGGGAGCGCGAACAGCAGCGGTGGGAGCGGGAAGAGCTTCGGTGGGAGCGCGAGGAAGCGCGGTGGGCGCGCGAGCGCGCATCCCTTGAGGCGGAAGTAGCGGCGCTAGAAGCGGAAGTAGAATCCCTCCGCGCAGCACTCGCACGCGCAGGGGAAGGTGGGCTGGCGCAGAACTTTCCCCGTCTTTCCCCCCAAGCGCATGTGCAGCTGGCGGGAGGGGTTGGGGGGGGGATGGGCGGAGGAGTAGGGGGAAACGGGGGAGTGGGGAGTGATTTATCGAAGGAGCAGCTGCTGGTTCTGCTGCGAGGGCTGCTGCACTTGCTGCAGGTGACAACGGATAACCACAGAGCCAGCGAGGTAGCCACGTCAGCAGGGATTGCCACGTCACCAGATGTGATCTCAGGCGCGGGAGCGGAGAGCTTGCTACAGCTGTTGGCGCCAAAAGTTTCAGCTACGGGCAATGCTGCAGGAGCAAGCGCAGAGGAAATCCTGAGGAACATTCCGGATGCTGACATCATCGCCGCTGTGGCGTCACGCACGGTGAACCCGCTCCCTGCTGCCGTGGACGATGGCGGCGCTGACGTGGAATCAGGGGAGCAGCAGGAGGAAGGAGCAAGGAAGGTTCAGCGGAGGCTGGCTCGGGGAGTATATGGAGATGACGTGCAACAACTGCAGGTAGAATGATCTCTCCATGAATGAACGTTCCATGAATGAACTTTCCATGAATGAACTTTCCATAAATGAACTTTCCATGAATGAACTTTCCATGAATGAACTTTCCATGAATGAACTCTCCATGAATGAACTTTCCATGAATGAACTTTCCATGAATGATCTTTCCATGAATGAACTTTCCATGAATGAACTCTCCATGAATGAACTTTCCATGAATGAACTTTCCATGAATGAACTTTCCATGAATGAACTTTCCATGAATGAACTTTCCATGAATGAACTTTCCATGAATGAACTTTCCATGAATGAACTTTCCATGAATGATCTTTCCATGAATGAACTTTCCATGAATGAACTCTCCATGAATGAACTTTCCATGAATGAACTTTCCATGAATGAACTCTCCATGGATGAACTTTCCATGAATGAACTTTCCATAAATGAACTCTCCATGAATGAACTCTCCATGAGTGTGAACGCTCCATGAGTGGGAACGCTCCATGAGTGTGAACGCTCATGCGCTTCCATACTTCCTTGTAGGGTGAAGTGAATGTATGCGCTGCAGGAGATCGTTCCCCGCTTTTGAGTGACTTTTCAGCATTCCTGAAATTCCCGCTTCCAGAAGACGTATTTCTTCGATCCGGTGATCCCACCAATCAATGACTGTCTTGACCCTCGTATGCTTGCTGAATCTCTTGCAGGTTTTGTAGGGGTCTTATTGCGGTGAGGAGGATATGGAGGATGCCTCAACCCTCTTCTAAGCATGCTACCAGCACCTGTTGCTAACTTTCGACCCCACGCCATGTGCTTGCAGTTGCAGACTCTCTTGGCCCTGCAGGGGCTCTACTGCGGTGAGGAGGACACGGAGGGTGTGCCTCTTGATCCTCCAAGCATTTAAAGACGTGTCTTCACGCCTGTGTGTTTGCAGGCTCTCTTGGCCCTGCAGGGGTTCTACTAGGGGGAGGGTGTACTTGTTCCGCCAATCATTTAAAGACGTTTCTTCTCCCCTGTGTGCTGGCAGGCTCTCTTGGCTCTGCAGGGGTTCTACTGCGGCGAGGAGGACACGGAGGATGCCTTCTTTGGCGCGAACACTGAGAGCGCTGTCAAGACATGGCAGGTGGGGTGAGGTGTGTGATAAGGGCAGGTGAGGTGTAACCGTGTTACAGATTGCTCTGGGCAGAGGCCAGAGGAGGACACGGAGCGAACACTGAGAGCGCTGTCAAGACATGGCAGGTGGGTGTTAGACTAAGCGGAGTCTCTTTCAAATAATAAGTGTTTCTGCTGACTCAGCTTCCCATTCCATCCAACCTCCTTCGAGCCCCAACCCCAACATCCTCCCCTTCCCATGCTGCTTACTACCCCTGTCAACCATGGACCTTCAGGGGGATGACGTGCTACTTTCCCTCACGCTGTATGCACTCATTCCTCTGCTTTCCCCGCACAAATAGCTCACTTTGTTTCCCTCCTTACTCCTTGCCCCTTTCTCCTTGCCAATCGCCTTGTCTTTCTCCTTTCTCTTTCCCCCCATCGCCGCCAGTCAACCAGGAACCTTCAGGAGGACGGCATCATCACACCGAACCTCTTCACCTAATAGCTGATTCCTCATCCCCCCTTACCAACATTTCTTCCCCCCTTCCCCCCCCCCCTCTTTCCCCCCGCCCCCTCCCGCCGCCAGTCAACCATGAGCCTCAGCGAGGACGGCATCGTCACACCGAACCTCTTCGCCCTCCTTATCACTTCAGCAGCCACCTAATAGCTGATTCCTCTTCCCCCCTTACCAACTTTTTCCCCCCCTTCCCCCCCCCTTCTTCCCCCCCCCCGTCCCCCCCCCGCTGCCAGTCAACCATGAACCTCAGCGAGGACGGCATCATCACACCGAACCTCTTCGCCCTCCTTATTGGCGATCCCGAGCTGGCCGCCGAGCCTGCTTCCGAGCCTCCCGCCACGGCGTCAACCAAGCCTTCCACCCCACCCAGCGCACCCCCGTCTCCCTCTCCTTCTCCCGCTTCCTCCCCCTCCAAACCCTCTCAACCGCTTTCAACCTCCCCAGCATCCCCCCGTGCGCCCCCTGCCACGCGGGAGAAGCGGGAGATAGAGCGATATGCGCGGAGCAGCCTCGAGCAGGGGCAGCGGCGGGTGTTCTTACTAGGGGAGAATCGGTGGGAGGATCCGAACACTCTGATTGGTCGACAGGCAGATAAGGGAGAGGGGGGGGAGGGAAGGAGGGAGGAGGGAGAGGGGGAGGAGGTGGAAGAAGGGGGAGTGGAGGGGAAGGGGAAGGGGAGAGGAGGGGTGAGGGATCTGGTGGAAGTGAAGGGGAAGGGGAAGAAGAAGGGGAAGAAGGGAGCGGAGGGGGGACTGAAGCCGGTTGTTGTCTCGTGCTATCAGTGCAGAGGGGAGGGCAATGTTGTGTGCATGGGTGAGTTGGTGTATGTGTGAACCGGTGTATGGGTGAGTTGCTTGGTGCATGGGTGAGTGGGTGCCTGAGGGGAGCGTACGTTGAAGCCTGATGTTGTCTCGTGCTATCAGTGCAGAGGGGAGGGCAATGTTGTGTGCATGGGTGAGTTGGTGTATGTGTGAACCGGTGTATGGGTGAGTTGCTTGGTGCATGGGTGAGTGGGTGCCTGAGGGGAGCGTACGTTGAAGCCTGATGTTGTCTCGTGCTATCAGTGAAGAGGGGAGGGCAATGTTGTGTGCATGGGTGAGTTGGTGTATGTGTGAACCGGTGTATGGGTGAGTTGCTTGGTGCATGGGTGAGTGGGTGCCTGAGGGGAGCATACGTTGAAGCCTGATTTTGTCTCGTGCTATCAGTGCCGAGGGGAGGGCAATGTTGTGTGCATGGGTGAGTTGGTGTATGTGTGAACCGATGTATGGGTGAGTTGCTTGGTGCATGGGTGAGTGGGTGCCTGAGGGGCGCATACGTTGAAGCCTGATGTTGTCTCGTGCTATCAGTGCCGAGGGGAGGGCAATGTTGTGTGCATGGGTGAGTTGGTGTATGTGTGAACCGGTGTATGGGTGAGTTGCTTGGTGCATGGGTGAGTGGGTGCCTGAGGGGAGCATAAGTTGAAGCCTGATGTTGTGTCGTGCTATCAGTGCCGAGGGGAGGGCAATGTTGTGTGCATGGGTGAGTTGGTGTATGTGTGAACCGGTGTATGGGTGAGTTGCTTGGTGCATGGGTGAGTGGGTGCCTGAGGGGAGCATACGTTGAAGCCTGATGTTGTCTCGTGCTATCAGTGCCGAGGGGAGGGCAATGTCGCGTGGTGGTTGAGTGCAACGTTGAGTGCATGGGAGGTGAGTGCAATCTTTACCCAAGCATTCCTCTCCTCTCATGTTCCCTCTTGATTTTACTTCTGCCTGCCTTGCACTAGACTTAGTCCCTACCCCTAAACCCGAAACCTTAACCGTTATCCCCTCCCACTCATCTCTACACCTGCTGATTTTGTAGGCACCTCAAAACCCTTCCTAAATCCCTCTCCCTTGTCACTCCCCTTGCCTCCCCTGGTCAACTCCACAGAGTTTTCCGCTGCACCAGGGTGACTTCTGAGTCCCTCAATAGTAAACTCTTCTCTAATTCCTCTCACTACGTCTCTCTCCCTCCCTTCCCTGGTCACCTCCACAGAGTGTGAGGGCACTGGGGACGACTTTTGAGTTGTCTCAGAAGTAAACTCTTTTTTAATCTCGCCCCCTCTTCTCCCCCCCTGCCCCCTGCCTCCCCTGGTCACGTCCACAGAGTGTGAGGGCACTGGGGACCTCAACATCGACGAGCAGGTGAGGCATTCGCGTTCTCCTTCTCCCCCCTCTTTTCCTCCTCCCATTTATCTTTACCAACACACCCTCGGCCACCTTCTCGCCCCGCATCGTCGCATAAAAAGTCTCCAGATTGCTCCAAATTCCCCCACGTCACCACTGCCGCCCTAGCCCAGTCGCTTAGTACCCTCCTTTCCCTTCTGTGGTGTTGAAGCTCTGCCTTATTATTGGGACTGGCAGAGACTTTGCTGAAATGCTCAATCTTTCGGCCAATGCATGTTGTTTCCCTGCACCCGCTATTTTCTCAACGTCTCAAACCTATCTGCCACGTGCAGTTCCTTGATTGGGTGGGGGACAGTGCCTGCTGTCTGTATTGCGACGGCACCGGTGCGATTAAATGCGATTTGTGTGATGGGATTGGGGAGTCTGAAGACTAGCGAAGCAGCTGTAGTTGGAGGTTATTACCTGATTATTTGACGTTTGCCCATTCGTTGTTAGAAAGCCTGTACTGGAGAAAATTCCGAATGCTTTGTGTTTTAGTCACATTCGCCAAGTCCCGCAAGAGGCTTCCATCCCTGTCGCGCACTGCAAATGTGCGACAAGTCAACGCATTCCAAGTGTACGAAGTGCTATTAGCGAGATGCGTCTCGATTCGGATCGCATCAGTCGTCGCTGAATCAGCACGAGACTCGAAGGGCGCACCCGCAGTCTTTGGGAGTTTGGGGCTGCAGAAGCAGGAATTGCAGTGGTCGTGGAAACGAATTCCTCTGTTCATTCATCCTCTATGTCGAATCTTGCTCCTGTTGTTTCTTGCTTCTCTCTATGTTACTCGAATCTTGCTCCTGTTGTTTCTTGCTTCTCTCTTGTTTCTCGAATCTTGATCTGCTTCACTCCTCCTCCACCTCGGGTCGGGTCGGGTGCTCCTGTTGGTCTCTGGTTTCTAGTATTGTCAACCGTACACTTCGCTCGGGTGCTATTTACAGCATGTGCGTTGCAGAGAGTAGTACTAGGCACTGTGCCACGTACTCGCGCAACGGGCGCGGTAGCTTCTCGTGAAGGTTAGCTTAAGGGCGTTCATTCATTCGTTCAAACCGAGGTGACATTTGAGTCTTGCAAGACTTCACTCAAACGTTTTCACTCATAAGTTATCTCGAGAACGCTAGCTGCAGGACGTTCTTTCAAGCCTTCCGCCATTTCAAGCTTGAGTCAAGCTGCTTCGCCATTACGTTCCATCCTTCGAACACATGTCTCCGTCGTTAGACATAGAATAGTCGTTGTGCTCGCATCTGTGTCTCGTTTTCTTGATTCTTCCCTTTCTTTCCGCCCTCGGGAGTGCGGCTCTTGGCATACTGCTTCGGTTTAAAGTGCCCCGATATTGTAGTCCGCGCGTAGTGTGGCCCTACGATGAAATCAAACGACGAACTGCTGCTTTCCCCAATCAGTCCAACTTCGAGGCTCCGAAAAATGGTTGAAAACTCCTCCGGTTTCGCGTACCCCGCGCTCCGAATCGCTTTCATTATTATCACACTCGCGCTGCTGTGCCTTTTCGGCACGCACGAGTACTACGAGGTGCAAGAGCAGATAAAAGAATTCTACGACGAAATCGAGAAAGCGCCGTGTAACAACACCGCGATACTGTACATTTCCCGATCGAAATATTTCTTCTGCCCGATAACGCCCTCCGCGGCCGCGGAGGCCGCTGCGGAGAGGGCGGAAGCGGGACTTGCAGCGGCAAGGGCGGCGAACCAACCGTCAGAAAGCAGCGACACGTCAGCTGCGGGCGATGAGCAGGAAGAGCCCGAGCCGCCACGCGACGGGTGCGACGAAGCGTGGGAGTGGTTCACCGACGCCAGCGGCGGCGGCGGTGACGGTGGAAACGGCGGCGGCGGTGACGGCGGGAATACCGGCGAGGAGCCCACCTCGGGGCGGCGCGGAAGAAAGCTCCCCCAGACCCGGCGACGCGCGAAACGGACGACGGCGGATTACGACGCGAACGACCCCAGCGGCGTTGACTTCGACGACCGGAATCCGTCCACGTACCCGTCCACGTCGACTCGCGCATCGAGCATTCCGCGGCGCGAACGCGGGAAGAACTGCAAAGCGGAGTGGGTTACTTATTCCACCTTTTCCGCCGTGGGACTTAATCGTCTTGCTGACGTCACCAGCATGATTGACTTGCCGCTTTCCGTCGTCGGCTTGCATCAGCCGTGGAACGGATTCCGTCCGCGTCTGGTAGCGGTGCTCGAGTACGTCCAAAGTCTGCCGCCCGACCGCATCATCATCGCTACAGACGCGCTGGATGTAACACCCGTACCGTCCTGTACCGCCGACCGTATCATCTCGGCGTTTCTGAGTTTCAACGCGCCGATCGTGTTCGGCGCAGAACCGTACTGCTTCCCGGATCGGCTCGAGGATAAATATCCGCCGCTGCCGCCGGAAGCGGCGGCGGTTGACTCGCAGTTTAAGTACCTCAACGCGGGGACGTATGTAGGGTACGCGTGGGCAGTTATTGCTGCGCTTAAAGCCGCTTTAGCGAACCCCGTTAGTTGGTTTGACGATCAGAGGGAGTACACCCGGCTATTCTTAAACCAAACGCAGCTTCTGCCGTTTATATCCCGATGGGAGGACGAGCAGCAGCGCAGCTTGCGGTGGCGATTGCGACGCGAATGGCGGTTCGACGACAAAATCTGGAAGTGGCGGCGCGTGGTTAAGACCATGCAGGCGCGACTCGCGGCGCGGCCCGTCATAGTTCTAGACCACATGAACGGGCTGATCCAGAACCTTTTAGGCACGAAGGACGAGGATTATGAGATAGTGGATTTAAGGGACGTGCAACAGCAGCAGCTACAAGACTGGCAGCAGCAGCAGCAGCGAGGGGAAGAACCGAACAACCCTAGCGGTGGCGGCGGCGGCGGCGGCGGCGGCGGAGGCAGCATCAGTGGCAGGCAAGCGCAGCCGTTTCCCCCGCTTCTCCCCCTGACGCCCCTCCCCCGGTGGCCGCCCGCCCTCCACTTAGGCTTGCGCAACAGGAACACGGGGGGGTTCCCCTGCCTCCTGCACGAGCAGGGGGAGAAATTTAATATTTCGCTGCCCGTGCTACAGCTGCTGATCAAGCTACAGATTGACGAGGCACGGGCAGGCAAGGGGTATATTTCCTGGTGGCGGGCTGGGTGGTTACATAGAGTGGGCAAGTATAAGATTTGAAGTGACTTTAGAGTGTATAATTTCAAGTTACCCGTTCTACAGCTGCTCGTCAGTCAAGGGTACATGGACGAGGTGAGGGGATGCCAAGGGTACATTTCCTGGTGGCGGGCTGGGTGGCTTTGGGCAGGAATAAGACAGTGAATTCTGGGTGTAGAAGTCAAATTACCCATGCTACGGGTGCTGGTGTGGCGACAGATTGAGGGGGAGGGGGGGGGTGGGGGGGGGGTTAGGCAGTGGTTACATTTAGTGGTTGAGCACAGGGGGGTTGTATTTGAAGTAGCGGGACTACTGTGCAAGGAGCAGAGGGCAAAGACGCATGGGTGAGGGAGCATCTGGCGGTAGTAAGCTGGCTGATGGCACTACTGGTGGTGGCTGCACAGACTGACAAGTATTGAGACCCATGGAAGGGAGCAGTGGGCAAGCACTGCTAGGCAAGGGGGCAGAGGCTACATATATTATATAGTCTTGTGCTGCATACTTGTATTTGGCTGAAATAGACTAGTTGAAACTGTATCTTATAGTATAAACATCTGCTTGCATACAAGCACTAAAGCTTTAGCAAAACAACCTGCAAAACCCTCTGTGTGTCCGCACTACCAAGGACCACTATCTTGAAACACACCTGTAACGCCAGTTTTTCTGACCCACTGTTGACTGAGCTGTCTTAAAACCCGAGTCTAAAATTGCACAGAGGGGTTTCAAGAGAGCCCCTTTTGAAGTAGGGCACTCCTGCAAAGTTTTGTATTAGATGAACTGAGCCAAAATCCAATTTTTGGGCAGCAGGACAGAGTGAAATGCCTGAAAACGCATGAAATGCGGGTATCGGCGGTTGCGACAAACGTAAGCGACACACCCACGAATCGACAGGCGACGCGAATCGCAGGGAGGGAGTTCGAATCCAGGGCGTCTTATGTCGAAATCAATGCAGAGTATCGCCAGTGGATGCTCGAAACAATACCCGATTTGCGCTAACCAAGGACTAGGATTGCAGGCTCAGAATCGAATCCGCGCTTCAAAACGGGCCCTGAATCCCAAACGCGACAATGAACCCAACGCAGCAAAAGAAAATGCTTAGTGTACATGTAATTAGGCTAGATATTGCATATACACAAATTGCCCGAATGCAAACAAAGAGTATATGAATGCACACATTATGATTGCACCAAACCATTACCAATATGCAACCTACAAGCCCATAACTGTTTATGGAAAGCAACATATCCTGCAAACGAGTAAGCATTCAGGCTCCTAACATCCGCCGTGACCTTAGGTCTCAGGGGAGGGACAAAGGGGAGGGCGCGCAGGTGGTGTCTGGAATTGAAGAAAGGAGACTGGATTCCTGCACGCACAGGCTGTGATTGGACAAAAATACCAAGAAGTGAGGTAGTGTGAGAGAAAGGACTGGGATAGACAGCGTGAGAGAGAGAGAGAGAGAGAGAGAGAGAGAGAGAGAGAGAGAGAGAGAGAGAGAGAGAGAGAGAGAGAGAGAGAGAGAGAGAGAGAGAGAGAGAGGGCGGAGGGAGAGAGGGACAGCAGGGAAGAAAGGGAGACAAGGAGATGGGGAACCAGGGCAGTTAGAGGGGCAGGGGTGGAAGGGGGGACGCACAGAAGGCAGGGGTGAAAGGGGGGAAGCACAAAAGGCAGGGGTGAAAGGGGGGAAGCACAGAAGGCAGGGGTGAAAGGGGGGAAGCACAGAAGGCAGCAGAGGGAAGAATGGGTGAAAGAGAGACAGGAGGGATTTATGTCATCTCCGCCATCTCCATCCCCACCCCCCTACCCCTCCCTCACTGGAGTCCCTCCCCACCCCTCACTGCCATCTCCCTCCACATCTGTCCCCCCCGTTTGTGCATCTCCCTCCCCATCCCTTCCCCCTCTCTCCCTGCCATGTCTATTCCCATCCCTGCCCCTCTCCATACCATCTATCTCCCATGCCTTCCCCCCGGCCTGCCATGTCTCTTCCCATGCCTTCCCCCCGGCCTGCCATGTCTCTTCCCATGCCTTCCCCCCGGCCTGCCATGTCTCTTCCCATCCCTTCCCCCCGGCCTGCCATGTCTCTTCCCATCCCTTTCCCCCGGCCTCCCATGTCTCTTCCCATCCCTTCCCCCCGGCCTGCCATCTCTCTCCCATCCCTTCCCCCCAGCCTGCCATGTCTCTTCCCATCCCTTCCCCCCGGCCTGCCATGTCTCTTCCCATCCCTTCCGGGAAGGGAGGGAAACCACGATGGGAGAGAGGGGAGGAAAGCATAACGATGGGAGAGAGATGGGAGTCGTAACGACAGGAACAGCGCAGCAGGAGAGGGAGGGGAGTGAAGCATATCGCGACGAGAGAGGGGAAGGGGGGTGGGGAGGAAGCGTAACCCGACCCTGAGAGAGGGAGGGTAAGCGTAACGGCGGGAGAGGGGGGGGGAAGCGTAACGGCGGGAGAGAGGGAGGGGAAGCGTAATGGCGGGTGAGAGGGAGGGGAAGCATAACGGCAGGAGAGAGGGGGCGGAAACAGAATGGCGGGAGAGAGGGAGAGGAAGCGTAACGGCGGGAGAGGGAGGGAAAGAGTAACGGCGGGAGAGAGGGAGGGAAAGCGTAACGGCGGGAGAGAGGGAGGGGAAGCGTAACGGTGGGAGAGAGGGGGAGGGCCGATAGCGTGATGGGAGAGCCGGAGGGAATATTAGCGGGCGTATATTCGAAGAAAGCTGTGGAATGGGAAGTCGAGGCCGGTCTTTCGCAGGCTTTTTCGTCGCGTACGTGGTCCCGAGCGTCTAACCCATGTCCCGTGCCGAATTGGCCGACGAGACGCTGGACTATGGGCTACTAATGACCTTTTTCTGCCTCCTAACCTGCTAGTGTCCTAGCAAAGGCTAGCGAGTACACCGCACCAAATACAAAGTGGGGGTCCTCTTGAAAATGCCAGGGGCGGGCTGGTCACCTAGTGTGGTTGTTGGGCTTGTTGGCTGGTCACCTAGTGTGGTTCTGCGACGTAAGTGGTTTTCGCACGCTCACTTTTCGGCGTCGTCGGCACGGTGCAAGGGCCGCGTGCCAATGCCTGCCTTCGTTCACCCTTGCTTTTGGTTTTGCGTGTGTTCTCATTGTTTTTGTTGGAAATATCTCAAAGGACTTAAGCGTTTCTGAAATGTAACACTACACTCGAGGAAGATCGCACCTGCCATTCCCAAGCAACGGCACTGCAAAGAAGCAAGAAATATTTACTTATCAATCGCTGCTGGCGTACACAGTTCTCCTGCGGAACCTGTCACCACAAGAACAGCAGAGCATCAGAACGTATCGAAGCTATGGAAACTCCGCGGAACTCGCGTGGCATCATCTCAAGTGTCTCTATCAAGCAAACGACAGCGTGACACAAAGCAGACTCATGCAACAACTGACAACAATACAGATGAAGACCGGGGAAAAGGCGATGCAGTATATGAGTCGATGCCAAACACTCCGCGACCGCCTGCTTCGGTGCGGAGGAACAATCACTGAAGAAAGCTTCGTGACACTTGTCCTCGCCGGGCTCGGGCCAGAATGGAGAACCACACGCTCGCTCCTTCGCGCCCACGGAAGAATCTCGGAGATGCACCTCTGCGCCGAGCTTCATGCTGAACAACAGGAGATGGACCTGTTCGAAGAAAGACAACCAAGAAAGCAGCAGCAGTTAGTTTTCTACACTCAACGAAGGAACGACAACAACTACAATCGACGCGGCAAGCAAGATCAACGCGACAACAGAGGACTCACCATCGTGCCGCCGTTCTGCCACAACTGTCAAACATCCGGACATTCCAAAGTCAACTGCACACGTCCTCGTGTTTATCGCCCAGTAGACCCACAAGTCGCTTCCAGTCAAGAAAGCCCTCCAGGGCGTTCTTCCACATCTGCACAAGGGACACCGAACATCATCAACTGTATGGTACACATCGACAACTGCGCACCAAGATCACCACCCACTTACGCGCCAGACGAAGAAAAACTCCCGCCGCCGCGCTCACAAGGACTTCAAGTCAACCCGACATATGCTGCAGTCGCCAACGCCGAACCCACCGGACGAAATACCTGGTTCTTGGACAGTTGCTGCGGTCAACACATGTGTTCTTCTCGACACTTCGTGCAACGAGAGCGACGCCTCAACCGCGACGTCATCATCACCGTCGCCAACAACGAAAACCTGAAAACAAAAAGACAAGGGGTGGTTCAGTTACAGTCCATGGAAACAAATGTCATCCTTCAACTCAACAAGGTCTTAATCGTCGACAACTTGGGATACAATCTGCTAAGCGTCAGCCAGCTAATGGCAAAAGGGATCCACCTGGAGTGCGACTCGGACTCCAACGAGTTTCGTCTTTACCACGGGAAAGGCGACCTCTTCATCGGTCGTGCTCTCCTGAAGTCTGGCGTCTTCGTGTTGGATTTCGTCCCCGACCGCGGTACTGCCGACAGCGATGGGATTGTGTCGTTCGCCGCCTGGACACACCCGCCGGATCTTGATCCCGACTTCAACCCCGACGGATTCTGGTACTCCAACACCATACCTGCAGCAGAGAGAACACGAGCATTAGCAGTGATCAGACAAGAAAGAGAAGTACCAGCAAGTGTCCTTTCCCAACCATCACCTACAGTAGCAGCAGCAGGACCCAGCCGAGTACCACCACCAGCGATCCGAGGACCGCCAACCGAAGCAGATCAACTTATGCCCATCACACGAGAAGTCTGCCGCAGTCCCGCCACGGTCGTCGCGTTCTTCTCCAACACCGACATATACCACCGCTCGCCCGGCCATCACGCTCCCGACGACATCTGGCACCAACGTCTCGGACATCCTGCAAACAGTACAATACTGCAAACCATCCACGCCGAAGTGTTAGAACGAAACACTCTTCTTACAACAAGCGGTCAAGAACTTCGACGACCACGCACACGGTGCTTTACGTGCCCCGAAGCCGATCTTCCCCATCAGCCTTTTCCATCCCATCACAACCGAAGCGCACCTGCATACGCACCGATGGAAAAAGTCTACAGTGACATTTTAAACATGCCTCGAGAAGACACTGAAGCCGACTTCAACTATGTCATCACGTTCATTGACGCAGCAACAAGATACGTCTGGCACTACAACCTCAAGACGCGCGATCAAGCCTTCGACGCCTTCACGACATGGCTTCCCATCGCCGAACGAGAATCAGGAACCAAGCTCAAGAGCTTCCAGTCAGACGGTGCATTGGAATACCAGTTACAACGCTTCAGGACCTATCTGGCGGAAAGAGGAATCAGACGCCTGGTGTCTCTGCCCTACGCTCACCAGCAGCAGGGGGTCGCAGAACGCATGAACCGGACCTTGCAGACGACGATGCGAAAGATACTCCTGGGAATGAGACTGCCCACCACACTGTGGCCAGACGCGATCACACATGCAGTCCACCTGCACAATCTGTTGTCCTCGTCATCGCTCCCCAACAACGCATCACCGCACCTGCTGTGGACACGAAAAAGGGGCAGCACAAAATTACTTCGAGTTTTCGGCTGCATGGTACAGTACAGACCACACACAGCCCGAGCAGGACGCTTCACTCAACGAGCTCGGTGGGGACTACATCTCGGCATCGCCAAACATTTTCACGCATGGAAAATCCTCGACATACAAGACAAAAATACCGTGGCATCACGTGATGTTATCTTTTACGAGCGAATGACGCTGCAGCATTACCTGGACAACATTGCCAACACACACGACCCCACCGACGGCCTCGCGGGCCTTCGTTCCTTCGCCGACCGTGCTGCCGAGGCTGACGCAGCAGAAGAAGACGTACCTGGAGCCTCGGAAGCTGCCGGACCACTCCCTTTATGTTCCGTACCTGTTCCACTCGACGAAGACAATCCTCTCGATAGCAACAACCTCGACACCTTTTACCACTTCGCTGACCAAGGTTACGTTACACCCCACCCGGTCGACATGAATGTTTCAGAACGCATCGGCCCAAACTTCTAACCTGATCCAGAAGATGGTGACGAAGCAGCTTATTCCGGGAATGAAAATTCTCCTCGACACACACCCACGGGACTGCAGATCCTCGGCCTATGGGTCTCCGTCCAGCATCCGCCGCCGCCATCTCCGCGCGAGCCCTCGACTCTGTCGCAGGCTCTGGGGGGGGAACATAAGGCGAAATGGAAGGAGGCGATGGAAAAGGAACTAAAAGCTTTGCAAGACCGAAACATATGGAAGTTGGTACCTGCAACGAACATCAACGGGAAGAACATCCTCTCGGGAAAATGGGTGTACCGCATCAAGACCAACGCGGACGGCTCCATCGAACGATTCAAAGCTCGATGGGTCGTACGAGGCTTCGATCAACGATACAGAACCGACTACACAGAAACTTTTGCCCCAGTCTCCCGTCACACCTCCTTGCGCATCCTACTCGCCGTCGCGACCACGAAGAAACTACCACTGCGCCAAATCGACGTCGCAAATGCTTTCCTTTATGCACCTGTGGACGCCGAGATCTTCGTCGAGCAGCCCCACGGATTCATCGACGACCCTACAAAAGTGTGCCAGCTGATAAAATCCCTTTACGGGATCAAGCAAGCCTCGCGGCTCTGGTTGCAGCATCTCCACGGTCGCCTCGTAAAAATCGGATTCCTACAGCTGCCGCATGACCAAGGCATGTACCGATTGCAAAAGGGAAAAGAGTATATCCTACTCATCGTTTACGTCGACGACCTGCTCTACATCGGTTCCACCACCGACATCGCCACCTGGTTCGAAGGGGAGTTGAAAGGGGACTTGACACTCACAGTGTCCGACTCAGTAACACAGTACCTGGGACTGAATGTCGTCGAAGACAACTCGGCGTTCTACCTACACGCTGGAAAATACGCAGGCACTGTCGTGAAGAAATTCGGTCTAACGCCGACTACGGTCCCGACTCCCTACCGCTACGGGAACAACAGCAACACCTCAGCAAAACTCCCCGCGAAGCAAATCCAGGAGTACCAGCAGAAGCTCGGCTGCCTACTATTCGCAGCAGTAACCTGCCGACCCGATCTATCTTACAGCGCGAGCCAACGGGCGACGCATCTAAAGCAGCCGGAACAAGATCTCGAGGAACTTAATCGGGCACTAATCTACTTCGTCTCCACGCCGACGACCGGGCTTACCTACAGTAAAGTAACGACATCGTCCGTACAACTTCTCGGATACGTCGACGCCGACCACGCGGGAGACAAGGGAAATCGACGATCTAGAACGGGCTATATCTACCGACTAGAACCTATCGGGACTATCTCCTGGCAGTCGAGCAAGCAGGAACTAATCGCACTATCTTCGGCTGAAGCAGAGTATATCGCCCTCTGTACTGCGACCAAGGAAGGACTCTACCTACGAGAGTTGCTCGAGGAAGCGAAGATTGCGACCCTGCCCGTCTTCTCACTCCTCTGCGACAACCAATCTGCGATCAAAATCGCGAACAAGGACGGCTTCGCCAACCGAACCAAGCACATCGCCCTGCGGTACTTCTTCGTCAAGGATGAAATCGCGAAGGGGAGACTTCAACTCAGTTACTGCCCGACGACAGAAATGGCCGCAGACTATCTGACGAAGAAATTGGCGAAGGCAAAATTCGATTACTGCACGCTGCTGACCGGGCAGACAAACGTCACCGGATCTGAACACGTCAGCACTCCAGAAACGAAGGGGAGTGTTGGAAATATCTCAAAGGACTTGAGCGTTTCTAAAGTGTAACACTACACTCGAGGAAGATCGCAACGGGTACGCGAGTCAACGAGAGGTTACACGAGGGGGCGAACAAAGAACGCGAAGGGACTCGAAGGGTCGCAACTGGAGGTTGCGACTGACCGTTACAACAGCGCGGATGGTAACCGAAGCGACAATCGAGTCGCTGTGCGACTCGATAACCGCTCCTGCAACTGTATTCTACAACTGCTTTCTTACTTTCTATATATTGCTGTATGCTTGTTTATTTAATCAATCACTTGTTCTCATATACTAGTACAAGGGTTCAACTGCCTCAACTTCCGCTGCACTACTCAAAGTCTCATTCTTGGATGCCGGGTACCCATACACAGGCATTTTAATCTTCAGCCCTGCCTTTGGAATCAACCGCTCCCCCCAACAGCAGAGGCACTACCGGTACTGTTCATGCCGCTTTGTCTCTTGGATGTAGGGTACGCGTACACAGGCATTTTCACCTTCAGCCCCGCCTTGCAGTCGCCGACAAAGCTGCTGCCGAAGTAGAGGGTCTTTCCCACCATGTTAGGCTTGACTAGGTACAGCATCCACCCCACCGGCGAGTAGGGGAATATGAGCTTTGAGCCAGAGAAGTCGCAGTTGGTCCACTTGATTTCGGACTCAAAGAGACGCACGTCGTGAGTGAGAGGGCTCACCCAGCGAAACACTGCAGAGGGGGGTGCGGGGGTTGTGTCAGTGGAGGGGGGAGATTAGAGTTGTCCAAGAGATGCCGCAGTTGGTCCATTTGATTTCGGACGCAAAGAGACGCCCGCCCTGAGTGAGAGGGCTCACCCAGAGAAACACTGCAGGGAGGGAGGGGGAGGGGGCGGGTGCGGGGTGGGGTAGAGAGGGGGGGAGGGGGGTAAGAGAGAGGAGTGAAGAGAAGAAGTAGGGCCTGAGTCAAACAGATGCATATTGCCTTCACTCGTACAGCATGCACACCTCATGCACCACTGCAATGCACTGCTTGTCTCATGCATCAAGCCCAGTTCGGGAACAGCTTGGATGGCTTCCAGACCCACTGCACACCGCTGTGCCACAGCCGGATGCCACATGGTGCTGACTGTACCATACTCGTTTAGAGAATCTCCCTTACACGCTGTAACTGAAGTGTCCACTTACACAGCACGTAGTTTGGGAACAGCCTGGGCGGCTTCCAGTCCCACTGCACGCCGCGGTGCCACGGGCGGATGTGGTACGGCAGCACGCCGCCCACTGTCACTTTCCCCGCTTGAACCCCGGGTATCTCCTGGAGATCCCTACGCGCAGCCTGATGCGGGGGGGGGGGGGGAAGGGGGGGGGGAGGGAATGGGGAGGGGAGGAGCGAGGTGAGTCCCACTGCACGCCGCGGTGCCACGGGCGGATGTGGTTCGGCAGCACGCCACCCACCGTCACTTTTCCCGCCTGCTCGCCGGGAGGGGGAGGGAAAATGTGGTGAAGGGAAAACGTGGGGAAAGGGGCAGGGATGGGGGGGAAGGGGGAGAAGGAAACTTGGGGAAGGGGCGGGGATGGGGGGAAGGGGGAGGAGGAGGAAGGGGCGGGGATGGGGGGAAAGGGGGAGGAGGAAACGTGGGGAAGGGGCGGGGATGGGGGGAAAGGGGGAGGAGGAAACGTGGGGAAGGGACGGGGGTGGGCGAGACGGGGGAAGGGTATATAGCGAGGGTTAAGTGAGGGGTGGAACGATTAGAACGTGCTACTAATAGTGTGGTACGGCAACGCACAGCCCACCGCCACTCCGCGCACCGCCGCAGGGGGGAAGGGGCGGGGACATGTAGCGAGGGTTAGGAGAGGGGTGGTATGAGAAGCACGTGCTTATGACGTACGGAAACACTCCGCCACTCCGCCCCCCGTCACTCCGCCCCCCGTCACTCCGCCCCTCGTCAACCCGCCCCCCGTCACTCCGCCCCACGTCACTCCGCCCCGTCACCCCGGCGCCACTCCGTCCGCCGTCACTTTCGCCCGCGCGACCCCCAGGGACTGACCTGTCCTTGCAGAACGAGGCTTGCGAAGATTGCGACGATTAGGTAACCCGCCGTCGCAAGCGAGCTACGAGTCGATCTCATGGCGACCCGCCCCCGCGTTTATTTTTCGACCTCAGAAGCCGCTAATTGCGGATTAGCAGGCGGAATTGACTTGTCGCGGTCCCAGAAGCCGTTGGCGGTGAGATAGGCGCCGGAGCCGCGCAGCAGCGCGACGGGAGGCGCCTCGAAAAAAATCGAGTGAGTAGCAGCGCGCGGGAATACGGGAGCTTCGCGTACTAGGGTAAGTCACCCTATACCGTCTGGAATCCGGCTCGCGCCTGGTCTTGCTTCGATAAAATAATGCGCCGTTTTCACGAGGCGTGAACGCGCGCGTCCTTGCAGACAGTTCCGGGGAGCTAAGACGAGCGGCAGATGTGAGTGTCGTCGGATAGATAGGACACCTCGCCAAGTACTAACGGGTGCTGTGAGACAAAACAAGGCGGTGCACAGGAAGGCTTTTTGGTAGAAAGGCCTTGTGCTGAGGACCCTCCTAATTTCGCCTACAGGATAAGCAGCGCAAGGGGGTGTCTTCAAGCCAAACAGAGCGCGTCTTTTGTGTGAGGTGCAACTTTATTCATCAGATTTTCAGCACGGTGCAAATGGATTCAGAGAAGGACTGTACGGTTGGATGTATCAAACCCTCCTTATCACAACCATTTTCCCCCAGTGGTTTCCGGAAGTTCTGCCGAACCCCAACGAGTTCCCGAGCTAGCTGCCACACCTCACATCGAACCGAACCAACCCCTTGGTGGCGGCCAGACAGGGCCAGCTGTTCTCGCTCGAACTTGGGGAGAGCTGAAACAATGTCGCATCTGATTGGGCAGTAGCTTTGGGGACTGGTTTGGCAGGAACCTTGACCTAACAAAGTCAGAATGGAAGCTGGGTGGTGGAAAGGATGTGCGCTTCGCATTTTGTCCGGAAGGCACCACAAACACACGAAGCAACCCGCGCCGAATTCTGAATCGACATTGTCGGCGGCACGTTCTCACAGGGGTTCGGATCGGTGAAGTTCCATGACCTCACAGAAAATCTGGTGTCCCGGCAGAAAAGGGTAACGAAGTGCATATGAATACGCGTTTCCATAAATTAATTCGCCTCATTCTCACAGAATGGGGAGAAATGGCATAAACCTAATCATTTTGGACTGCCCCTACACCCGCTACCGAATTCGGTTGCCACCTGTCAATAATTTTCTTCCTGCCAAATGCCTCATTCGGCCTCCTGTTATTGGACGAAACATTGGCTGCAGGCTGGATGTGCTGGCAGAGGAAGTTTCTCCGATGCGCAAGGTTGATTCCACTCGAGTGGATATTTCTCGCTGGCGCCAAAGATCAAGGAACAAATTCCACGTGGAGATGCAACTGACGTGGTGACGTCATTAGCTGTTCTCGTTAGTGACCTTTCCGCCATTTGATTGTACGACCAGAAAGTAGGTTCAGAGTGCAGTGCATCAAACATGTGCTTTATTTACACACCTCAGAAGGCTAAGCTTTCGTATGCTCCCCATAGGCTAAGCCGAAAACACCTAACACCGAACTGATTCCGAACGGATTCAGCCCTCCCTATGTCATAAATTTTCTATGTAAGTCTATGTTGAGCTACCTGGGCTTGGTTTCGCGCGGCGCCTCGACAGCTCCTTTTTAAGCTGACGAAGCACCCTCTGCACATCTTGGTTCCTGTCACGAATTCGAGCTTGAATCACAGCCTCCGCGTCCTCCCACCGATACACATTCAGAGCCGTCTTCAATCCCATTTTGCAGTCGAAATTCCCGGGGATTTTACTCGAGAAGTACTGAGTCGTGTTCTCCCACGCTTTCGGGGTCACATAGGGGAGCCAGCCGACGGGCGAGTTGGGCCAAAGGAGCTTTGCGCCGGAGAAATCGCACTTGTCGAATTTGGCCTTCGATTCCATGTGGTACACGCTGTGAGGAACCGGGCTCACCCAACGGAAAACTGCACGCGGCGGGGAGACGGAGGGGGGGGAAAGAGGGGGGACGGGGAGGACGTGGGACGGGGCAGGCGGGGATGGGGAAGGGAGAACGTAAGTGATTACGCGGAATCGCATTCGTCGAATTCTAACTTACTTTCCATCATCGTGACACCGAGTTTTTTCGCGTGACTCATAGTAACTTGTATCACATTGTAGCTGAAAAGAAGCCAACACTGGTCGAAGAAAGCACGTACTGAGCAGGAAGTCAGGGAAGACAGGCGGAGGTTCGGCCCAAATGAACTTCATGAGCGGACTCCACGGGCTGAGATGGTTGGGCAAAAAGCCGCCTACAGTCACCTTGATTGCCTGGATAGAAACGAACGGGCGGGTGTGACAACAAGTCAACGAAAGCTTCATTAGCGGACCCCTCGGGCTCAGGTTTGGGAGAAATTCCCCTACAGTCACTGACGGAAACAAAAAATAGAACCATGGGAAGAAATGTGTGAAACAACGAGAGTCGTCAATGCCATTGACGAAGGAAATGCGGCGACGGTGAGCTGCGCCGTTGTCAACGTCATGTCTCGAAGATGCTGCGCGGGTCATGATGCGTTGATGAGAATAATTAGAGCATGTTTGCCGGACGAGATGCGTGATGCAACAACGTCTCAAAAATGTCTCGAGGGGTGGGGCACCTGAGTTGGTAGCACGCAGGCGACGAATAGCAGCACCGTCGCGAGCCGGAGTTGACGGTTCGGGTCCATGATGATGCGAATGACGCCGCTTAGTACTCTTGAGGATGCGAGGCGCCGCTACGTACTCTTCTTTTTCCGCGCCGCGTGTCTGCACTCGCCTTCTTTTAGCCCGCTGTTGGTCGGTGGCTCTGGCGTTTCAGAGACCGAGGCTAATAAGTTCTGGTACCGCTACTAGCTAGTACTGTGTGTTACGTATACCGTGACCAACATCTCTCAACCAAGCGAGAACGACGCGTATTTGCAATCACTGCCTATCGCATGTCGGTCTCAAATGTGGCAAAGAGGCTCGCCAGTGTCGAGAAATCGCATTAGTGACGGAATTGTTGTGGCTGCTCTGCTATGCTGCGGTGTGCTCTGCTTGCTGTTGCCCCTTTTTCTACCCCAGCTTCAGCTTCCTCTTCCCGAGGGAGAGAGTCACTTCTTGCCACCTTCCATTTTTTCTAATTGGGGCTGAGGTGGGGTGCGATGCGGAGGGGTCTTGGCAGATCTCAGCCAATGAGGCTCGTCCAATATGCTCCTGCTGGAATCTGTCTCGTGCCGCGCGCGTAGGGGTGCGCTCCGCGTTGCTGTGCTTTGCTGTACTCGTCCATCCCTGTTTCTTGCTCTCCCCCTCCCGGCAGGCTCACTTCACGCGCACACTGAGTCCCCAGGGCCCCCCAGACTCTCCGGGCGCATGAGTGGGGAGGACAGCCCTGCGCCACGGGGGGCTACGGTACTTTTGGAAGGTACAGTCCGGTGTGGGGGCTGGGAACATGGAGGAGAAGCGGGGAGCGGGAAGTCTGAAGGGCGGAATGCGCTCCTCCCCGCGGCCTTCGAAATCATCACCTGCTGGAGTGCATCAGATTCCAGCAGGGATGGAGAGCGAGTGCTCTGCTGGACAGGTGGGCAAAGACGACGCAATTCTATTGGACGATAGGGTGCGCTTTGCTGCACTGGACATTGCCCGCATTCCTGACCTTACTGCTGCTGAGCCATCTGCCAGACACGCGCTGAGCTGTTTTACTTGCTGGAATGGTGCTCATCATTGGTTGACCAGTGACCACCCAAGCCGAGAGTCGTGTGCCCGGTGGTGACATGGCCGCGGACCCATCATCCCAAAGGGAACTGATAGCCAATGGGGAACAACACGCTCATTCGACGTGTACACGTGATTTTTAGTACGGAGTATCCGCCAAGAGCAGGAGCTTCTTCCAACATTTTACCTTCAGGCATAATCTCCTCATACATGTATTAAAACCTGTTAGCCTGGTCTCACTACTTATCTAGAAGAAGTGTTCACGGTAATTGTATGAAGTTCAATGCACACAAGAGGGGATTACAATCTACGCACTTCAAATCAACATAAAATTTGACGTCCATAACTCAGATGAAGCGCTGCACAAACCATAGCAAGGTGTACCTATCATAGATGGTGTTGGAAATACCTCAAGGACTTGAGCGTTTCTGAACTGTAACACCACACTCGAGGAAGATCGTAACGGGTACGCGAGTCAACGGAGGTTACACGAGGGGATGGACAAACAACACGAAAGGACTCGAAGGGTCGCAACTGGAGGTTGCGACTGACAGTTACAACTGCAAAGATGGTAACCGAAGCGACAATCGAGTCGCTGCGCGACTCGATAACTGCCCTTTTTCACACGCCCTTTACTTTCCTACTTTCTATATATTGCTGTATGCTTGTTCTTTTAATCAATCATTTGTTCTCATATACTAGTACAAGGGTTCAACTACCTCAACTTCCGCTGCACTACTCTGGGACTTAGTCTCTGGAAAGATCCCAAGGGCTTTTCTCAGCCCAACAGATGGAATACCCATGTTAGCGTGGGTACTTCCCACAGAGGGCCGCCTTGTTCTTAGGATGAGACACGATGGGCCTTGCCCCCCATTCTTTAAATGCATAACGCAAGACTTGAACGTGACTCCGAGCTTCTTTCTCCGTCTCTGGAAAGGCATACAGCAATCTGAAGCTGTACCGCTTGAGCAGACCACCGATTGGGCTTGTGGTGTTCTTCCACTCACCAAAACTAGCGTTACCCTGAAAGAAGGAAGATCCATAGCGGACTTCAGGCAAGCTTCCTTTGGATCGTAAGTTGTAGACACCTATTTTTGTTATATGATAGGAATCACCTGCAGACGTCCTGCCAGACGAACATAAAGAAGGAAGCAGCAGGGGAGGGAAAGGGAAGGCGGAAGGAGGGAGGGTTGGGGTGGGGGGCACATGCACGTTATGTCTGCATGGCTCTACAATGTTTTGTTTAAAGCAACAAACACAAGCCGGGGTGTTATAAAACAAGCACGATGCTCATGCACATAACATACCGATTGGAAATTACATATTGCACAATTCCCTGCTAAACCAGATGAGGAACTATCATCTGTAGCTCAAAATCAATGACAAGCATATCCATCGTGCATTCAGGTCTCCGCAAGGGGGGCAGCACTACGAAAAGCGAAATAGGATCTTACCGCACGGCCTTTTCGACGTATCTCCCAGTTGCACCAAAGTCCCCGACGCGTTTCCCGTTGCGATAAACGGGACGCAATTTGACGACAAACTTATCTGCGAATGGGAGCAAGAGGGATAAGATAGGCTGGCGGCCCTTGCCAGAGGAGACCACTAAACTATAAACACCTGTGCTATGTGAAAGTGAAATGCATGATGCATACATAGGGGTACTAAACCCTGACTCGCACGGTCAGAGGCACTTACCGAGGACCTTCACTTTAGCCAGAGGCTCGGCCTGAGAGGAGAAAACTGCAGAAAAGTTGTGAGGAAGAAAAGGCCCCGGAAACTTTGCTCCTGCCCCACTATCCGCCGCGAACAGCATCGCACCTGCAGGCATATGGTAGCACAACAAGCAGCACAACAGCAGCTCAACAGCAGAACAGCAGCACAACAGAAGCAGAACAAAAGCTTCCGATGGGGCCTCAGAGGCATCAATCCGAGTCGGTGCTTACAGAGGAGCACGCAGAGAACCGCAGCGGATGTAACCGGATGCGCCATGATGAGAGTTGTTGAAAGCAACGGGTGTCAGCCCTAAAAAGGTGACCTTGTCCCTGAGGCGCTAATACCATTTTCATTTCGAGTACTACTAGTGCAGGCGTTTCTCCAGTACTACCGGAGAAAAGATACTCATTACTAGTAGAAGAAGCTAAGATAAAGGCGGAGCTTGTTCGGCGGCGACGCGAGAAAAGGGACTCTTTTCAAGAAATGAATGTCTCTCGGAGTGCTCTGAACAAAGAATTCGCTACTAAAAAAAATGCGCTAGCCATGCGGGAGATATACTACGCCAACGACTCGCGTTTGTGCAGCCTCTCCAAGGCTCTGGTGAGTAAATTTTGTGAAATTTGGGTGACACCGCGTCCACCACGGCGTGAGACGACACCACCGCCCCCACGACATCGGGCCCAACCACTGGGTCGACTACCAAACCGAGCCGAACCACTACTCCGAGTCGCCACACGCTCTTCACCTGCCATATATTTCCTTTTCTTTCAACACGTTACCGGAGCCGAGTCAGCTAAGCGCAAGGCGCTCTCATGGATTGCTGCTCGCCATTCATCGCAAACTGTCATGCTTAGTGCAATGGAGACCTGAGGGCGTGGATCTTACAGTTCCGGTTCTGGAAATTCCGCAACAAGTTTTGCCGGTTATGGAAAATCCGCAACCGTTTCTGGCGAATTTTTTGCCCGGAGGAAGATTCGCGAACTCCCGTCGAAAAGAGCTGCGAGCTTGTAACCAGCAAAGGTCCGGAACTTGCCCGGTTCCGGAACTGCAAGATCCACGCCCTGACAGCGAGGAGTTCCCAAAGCAATCATGATTCGTTAGTCAGTGCTGGGAATGCGATCTTGGAATCCAGCGTATAGCGCGCCTCGTTACTGTACTGTTCTGTAAAAACTTTTTTCCCCAGGATACCCTCAATCCACAAACCTCCTGCTTCCTCAAACCACCACCTCCCACGCACTCCTTGGAGGAGTGTTTCTGTGGGTGTGGGTATGCGAGTGCTTCTTGTTAAACTGAGAACGAATGATCACTAGAAGTGGAAACCTAGAACAAATACTAGTTGGTTGTACTCACTAGAAGCATACCTCAGTCTAGCCTATAACTTCTACATAGATAATATGTATAAGTTGACACAACCCCTAGGCTAGACAAGGGGTGAAACTAAACAAGAAGCAAACAGCTCAGGGCGGCACTACTAGTCCAACCACTGAGGCAGGGGTCTGGAGACCAGTCAGCAAGAATACAACCAAAATTGAAGCAAGCCAGGGTGACACTACTAGTCCAGCCACTGGAGGTAAGGCCACAAGGCCAGTCTGACAAGCATATATAATAGAGAGTACACAATCAGGATCCTAACAGGGGAGCAGCTACAGGAACAAGACCAAGCTGTACACAGTGCCGCTGATGATCTTTAGGCGCAAGCGCCTTAGTAAAGATATCAGCTGTGTTGGCACCTGAGGCCAAGTGAACTACACGGGCCTGGCGGCGCTACTGTAGCTCGCGCAGGAGGAAGTACCGCAGCTGGATATGCTTCCCTCTGCCCTCAAGCCGAGGCTCCTGACACAGGAGTATCATGGCCCTGTTGTCAGCGTACAGGACCGGGGCAGAGCTAGGCCGCTCACCTAAGTCTGTGAGCAAGAAGGTCAGCCAGCGGAGCTCCTGTGCCGCCATGGCACCAGCGTAGATCTCAGCCTCACAGCTAGACTGAGCCACAGACGACGAGTGGGTGGATCTCCAAGAGATAGCACCCGAACCAAGGCTGAAACAGTAGCCCTGCGACGACCTGAGCGTCTCAGCGTCGTTTGCCCAAGAAGCGTCTGTGTGCCCAGTAAGGACCACTGGCCTGCGTCCTCCTAGCACTAACCCCATGCCCGATGTAGTACCAAGATAACGCAAAACCCTCTTAGCGGCAGACCAGTGCTGAGGTCGGTGTCTACCTGTAGCCACAAAGCGAGCCAGGATGCTGAGAGGGTATGCGAGATCTGGGCGAGTGCAAGTCATCAGGTACATGAGGCAACCCACCAGCTCTGCGTAGGGGCCACTGGGCTCTACTGGCTCCTCAAGAACGGGAGCAGAGAGCCCATGGTCTACAGGTAGAGGTGTGGGCTGTGCGGAGGAGAACTGAAGACCGAACCTGTGAAGGACCTGACGCATCAAGTGTGACTGTGTCAGAGTGATGGTGCGTGCTGCTCTGTCTCTAAAGATCTGCAGGCTAAGATAGCAACGCAGCTCTCCAAGGTCAGTGCAGGTGTGTCTCTTCAGCAGCTCGGCCTTCACGGAGGCCAGTGCGTCCCTGTCAGGAGTAGCGAAGACCAGGTCGTCTA